TCTTTTTAGGCACCGCATTCATATTCTTCAAATTTTTACAGGAGACTTTCCAGTTAGTCCGAAGCATGATGAGGGTTTTGGCAAAATCAAAGTTGGTGTTACGTTGACTTGAGAATTTCCGCCCAACTACCGATGATGCTGCGAAGCTATCTCAGTTTAAATGGGAAACAAGGACAAGATAATCGCTCCAACCTCTTCTCCAAGTTATCCTTTCCCCAATCAAAATTCTCTGCCAGCAGCGATAATTAGCTGTGTGCACCTTGTGCTTTGGAGCTCCTTAGATAAGATTGGGATATTTACTATTTTTAACAAGACACCATGCCTTCAAATCGGAATCTTGGCTAAGGGAGGAAGTATTACAGATCTACTAACTTAGAAAAGCGTTCACATGGGTCATTCTGAAAGACCCTTGAAAATCCTCTTTTTGGGCATTTTTCCTCTACGTTGAAAATCTGCCTAGGTCGTCAATAACCTCTGTAGCCAATAATGCTACCTGTTCGGATGTTTTTGTGAAGTTCTCCATTCGAAGCCATTGTCAAAACTAATATCTTGTCTGAGTCCGATAGCTACAGGTTACATATAAATTACAACACAAATAGAGTAGGCAGATTAAAGAGGATTTCTTGGACAAAGAGAATCTTGCTATAAATCGGTAAGGATAACAGTAAAATCTTTGCTTCAAAAAACTAAATGCCAATTTGGCTTTATATCGTTAGTATGCAAAAGCCGATCTAATAAGGAACCACTTTTGTTCAATTCATAGTTCCACGGCGATAAATGACATTCGAGGGATCTTTGATTTAAGTTCTTGTTGCTTTCCTCCGCCATGTAAATCACGAGCTACTGCGATTTTTGAAATCTCTGCTAACTCGGTAAACATGAGATACTGCAAGTCGCTGGGAGTAAGCAACAACAGGGGGGAAAACTCAAAATTCCCAGCAGCACAAAAAAAGACACATGACTTTGATCGTAAGAAAAGAAGCATCAAAGATTTCTTCGGATCTCACGGCAAGTTAAATCTGTAAAACGCCTTGGACCATCCTCGTCTTTAAAACAGCTGGCCGATTCTTGTAAACCACGATTTTTGTAAACTTAATAGTTGCAAACAAAACAT